TGTGACTTCTCGTTCCCTCTCACGGTTTTTCTCCAGCGAGTGAACATACCTTATGGCAAAAACCTTTAAAAAAAGAAAAAAGAAAAAATATGGATACTTAGATTTTAAGATAATTAAATCACTCTTTTAAGGACTGACTGAAAGAGGTTGTCTCAGAACAGACTCTGGTGCCTGGTCTTTCAACTGTTCCCTGCCTGCACCTTCAGAGGACAGAGGGGTGGGAGGGTGAGGAGCTAAAACCCTGTCTTATTCACTGTGGTGTCTTCCAGTGCTTAGCTCTGACTGTGGTTCATTCATTCATTCATTCACTGGGTAAACTACATACCGGATACTAGCAAGGGAACAGGCAGAGGCTCATGGGTAAACAGGAAATTACAAACTGAGCAGTAGGAAGGGGAGGGGAGGTGAAGCACACCCACGGCATTGTTGGAGGCTCTGGAGGAGTCAGCAAAGTGAGGAGGAGGAGGGTCACTGTGCAGAGCATGCTCCCCCCAGCCCCGCCCACTGCAACAGCCCCCACCCCTTCAGACCTGGATGAATTGCTCAAACTTCTGGATGTGGGCCTTCAGCTGGGCTTCCCTGACGCCCAGTTCCTCCCAGCGTAGGTTCAGGGTTTCCATCCTGCGCTGAAATGTCTTCGGGGGTGGAGAACAGAGAGGTCAGGAGGGCCCCTGACAGAAATACTGAGGAAGACCCCGGTGGCTCCTGCCCCAAATCTCTATCCCAGGCCTGGAGGGTCAACAGGAGGCCTCCTACTTTCCACCACAGGACTGGCTCAGAGCAGAGTGTCCTGTCCCAAGACACTAGAACCCCCAAGACTCAGATCCTTTCCAGAACCACCAGCCAGGACTGGGGGTTCGAGCCTCCACCTATCATAGGTAGGGCTCTCCCTGAGCCCCAGCCCCCTCACCCTCCCTCCTGCACCCCATCCCCCATCCCACCTCCTTCTTCTGCTCCATCGCAAGATGCATGACCTTGGCTTCCTTCTTCTTCTCCAGCAGTCGGATAGATGGAGACTCCGACTGCTCCTCGACACTGGGGAACTTCCTGCCCAAAACACAGGCAAGAGAGAGGTCTGTGGGATTCGAGGCTGGTCAGGCTGGGGTTGGGGGTGCCCATGGCGATGGACAGCCAGGGAGCGGGGAGAGTCTTCTCTCCAGCCTGAGCAAAGGGAATACCATGCTGAGAAGGACAGGGCCGTGCCGGCATTTGGGAACAAGCTGGGGTGGAGTGCTAACGGGGGACAGGGCGACAGGGTGGACTGACACCAGGGTGACTTGGAGTGCTGGTTACAGGAGCAGAGGGACAGGTTGGGAAGGGATGTGGGACTGGTTGGAGGGCCCTGGCCCAGAGCGGATGGGCTGGCCAGGTCCTGGGACACTCACTGCAGCAGCTGCATCAGCCGCTCCCCGTACTGCAGCCGGAAGTACTCGGCCAGGTCCTCCTCCTCCATGATGCCCAGACTCATGGTGGCAGCGAGCTAGCGGCCCGGGCCGCTGACTGCACAGTAAAAGGGTGAATGACAGAGACAGCAGAGCCACAGGCCCACAGGCAACAGGGTGTGGTCGGGCTCCTGCTTCTCCCCTCCTCCTACTTTCAGGGCTGTGCGGAGGGTGGACACTGGAGACTCTGCAGAGGAAGGCCAGAGGCCGAGGATCCACAGCTTGATGAGGAGTTGGGGTGCTGATGGGAGAGCTGGTTACCTAGCAACAGGTTGCCTGGTTCTGACAGCCACAAGTGGAAGCTAGGCTTTGCCCTCTGACCTCTAACCCCACTGACCCCAGTCTTGCTGGGCTCTCTGCGCCTGCCCTTACCCCTCCAGAACTCTGGGAAGAAATTTGAGCAGGTTAGTAGCAGTTGCCATAGTGCTGGGGCCTGGGTGCTTCGGTGGCCTTGTCCAAGGCTCCTGGGCGTCCCTCAAGGTGCAGAGGGTGTCAGTGGCCTGAAAGAGAGAGAAGTGCTTAGCCTGGAAGCCCACCTGGGGCAAGACCCCAGGGATTAAGGGGCCCTGGGCACCTGGGGAGGGTCCCGGGAGGTTAGACTAGGCCAGCTTAGGAGGTTCGCAGAAAATTTAAATATAAAGATCTGTCAAACAAGGTGTAGAACGCCCCACATTCGACCTCTCTCACTCAGGAGGCTGCCTTCCCCAGTCGGTCAGGCTGAGGTCCAACATCTAACGGAGATCTTGCGAGAGGTGGCGGCCACTGCGGGGCCCTGTGCGGGTTTGGACCCTGGCCATGACCTTGAGCTTGTTCTCCTGGAGTCGGAGTCAAGCAGGGAGGGTGGGGGTCTCCCAGGGTGGGGGGAGGTCTCCCACCAGGGCAATGTCCCCAAGCTCAGCGATCACACTCCTGCCACATTGCCCACGGTCCTCTGGTGCCCTCTGCTGGCCACCTGTGCAGCTCTAAATCTCAGTCCAGGAGGGAGAAAGTGGGGAATCTTGCCCACCCAGCCCCTCTACGCCCCCTTGGGCGCTTCCCATCCAGGCTGGACATAACACATGCATGTCACTTCCAGGCAGCCCCAGGGGCTCAGCAGGCAGTCTCTACCCACTCCACACCTGCCCCCTTGCCCCCTGGCCATCCAAACCCCACCCTTAGCCCCTAAATCAGAGCTGGGTCTCCACCTCAACACCCTAGAGAAACAGGCCGGCAGGGGGACCAGCAGCTGGTATAATGGCTGTGTCACTGTTCTTCCATGTGGTTGACCGCAGTTCAAGTCCCAGGCCCAGTGGTTTAAAATTACACTGCGGGGAGAATGGAGGAGAAGGGATTGCAGTGTGGCCGTTCCCCCTGGGGGATGATTTCTCATTTTCTGTGTGGGTACATGCCCCCTACAGCAAAAACCTCTCCAAAAAGAAAAAAAAAACAAAAGCAATGAACAAAACCAGCAACAGGCCCATAGAACCACAGTGAGAACACCGTTGATCCCACTCCTCAAAGGAGTGGGGCTCTTCTTTGCTTATCCTTCCCTTCCTAGCTCCGTGTGGGTGCTATTTAAAGCTAGTTCTTGAGGAGGGAGCTGTCTGTGCCTGGAGTCCTACTGCCTTGGTGTAGAAGACACACCTTTGGCCATCTGTGAACCAGGCCGGTCAGGGCCAGGTGGGTTGGTGCAGGCAGCTGCTGAGACACCATGTTCCCGGCCTGGTCACCTCCTCCTGTCTGAAAGCTCCTTCTGCTGCCTCCCTTGGTGACTGAGACAGTGTTGATTCCTGCAGAGCACTGCCATCCGCTCTGGGGCCTCACTGAGGCCTCAATGCTTTCCTAGGGGTTGTGGGGGCAGGACACAGGGCAGACTCGGATTCACAGAAGTCTGTGCCCTCTCAGGGTGAGCCCTGCTTTTATTTTTTGGAGAGGTTTTTGCTATAGAGTGCGTGCGCTTGCCAGAAAGACAGAGACAGAGAGATAGAAAGGTAGAAATCAGCCCCCAGGGGGTATGGCCACACCGCAATCCCTTCTCCATTCTCCTCTCGGGATCTGGGGCACACATGCACACGTGCCCGGCGTGAGTTTACGCCACCACGGTCTACTACGTGGGAGTTCAGCAACATAGCCATTATGCTAACTGCTGGTCTCAAGCCCTGCTTTTTTCAAACCCCCTTTCTCTCTCAACCTCCACTCACCCTTTTCTATCTGATTTTTGCTTCTGAGGCAACAAAGCTCTTGACCAAATGGATTTAGTCCAATTGTCTATTGGATTTGGGTTGTTGGAAACCAAAAGCACTTTCCATTTTCTAGCCTATCCTATCATTCCTCTGAGACAGCTATCTGCTTAGAAGAGAGGCAGGAAGGAATATCAGGAAAAGAGATACAAGTTAATATCTCATAAAACTATCACAGCACACAGAGCAGCGGAATGCACGAACACAGTAGAGGCCAGCTTACTGAGTACCGAATGAGTATTGGGTGTGAGGAAGTCACTTTTTGCCCGTTATTTCATATTCCACTCCATATCAATATTACATTCATAATTCATGTAAGTGGAGCCAGGCAGGTAAGTTATGTTCAATACATTTCATAATGGGTGTTACAGAGCCAGCAGGTGGCATGATGGTTAAGGCACTAGATCCCATAAAATGGACTTCTAGGTTTGAGTCCCAGACCTGGAGGCTTGAAAGAAACAAAACAAAACAAAACAAAACAAAAACACAGGGCACATGCGCATGCATTCTCCAATCCTGAGAGAATGGAGAAGGGATTGCAGCATGGTCATATCCCCTAGTGGGGAGGTGATTTCTCACTTTCTCTTTCTCTCTCTCCAGCGAGCACATGCACTTTATAGCAAAATTTAAAAGAAGTAAATAAATAAAATATGTTTTTTTTAAATGGATGTTACAGAAAATGGAAATCTTCTGTAGGTCAAGCATATCGACTAATGACAAACAACCTGGAGTCTCAATGGCCTAACAAGATCCAGTGTGGATTTTCCGAGGGGCAGCTCCCCTTCTCTCCCAAGTAGTGATCAGAGATTGAAGTCCCTTTCGTCTTGCAGCATCGCACTATTCATCTGTGACCTCCAAGGTCACTGTGCAAGGGGAAAGATAGACCTCACAGAAAAGGTCCTTCTGTTCTTTTCTGAAAGACAGAGGAAGACAGAGAGATATAAAGCAAGAAATCGCCCCCCAGGGGGTATGGCCATGCTGCAATCTCTTCTCCTCCATTCTCCTCTCAGGATCTTGGGCACTCACACACACGCACCCGGCGTGAGTTTAAGCCACCAGGTCCAGGACTCGAACCGCGGTAGGCTACGTGGGAGTTCAGCGACATAGCCATTACGCTAACTGCTGGTCCCAGGTTCTTCTGTTCTTAACAAATTCACCACATTTGCCATTGGTAGATCTCTAGTGGGAACTATTCGCAGTTCGGTTTCCAGTCCCTTGTAAGGTGGTGGTGAAGTCGTGTTCCTAGAAAGAGGAAACTCTTTCAATGAGCATCAAACCAGTTTGTTCTGTGCTCATTTTGAGAATTAAGAGAGTGTTGGGTGGTGGCCCTGTAACTTAGTGGTTAAGGGAACTGAATCCCACATGGCTAACTACAGTTCAAGACCCGGACCTGGTGGCTTGAGAAATCTGCTGGGCATGTGTGCATGTGTGCTCCAAATCCTGATAGGATGGAGAAATGGAGAAGGGATTGTGATGTGACCACACCCCATTGAGGGGTTTTCTCTGTCTCTCTGTCTGGCAGTACACACACCCTCCAGCAATTAATAACAAGTATTTGGGAATAAACAGAAAGCAGAGCTTAATAAAGAAAGTAATTGTTGTCTAGCTAATTAAAGAAAAAAAAAAGCCAATCACAATCTTAATGGATGTATTATCAAATTTAATTTAGTGCAACGTTAAAAGGATGACTTGCCAGGGCCATGAGTACAAAATGGTTTACTAGTGGGAAATCCATTAGCAAAATTACTTCTGTCAGTATGTTTAAAGACAGAAGATTATGGTTATTGTGATAGATGTCAACGTGGCATTGAAAAATTCAACATTCATTGGGAACAGCAGTTAGTGTAATGGCTATGTTGCTGGACTCCCATGTAGTCGACCGTGGTTCCAGTCCCGGACCCAGTGGCTTAAACTCATGCCGGGTGCGTGTGCGTACGTGTCCAGGATCCTGAGAGGAGAAAGGAGGAGGAGGAATTGCGGCATGGCCATCCTCCCTGGGGGGTGATTTCTCACTTTCTGTCTGTCTGCCTGGCAAGTGCACGCGCCCTATAGCAAAAACCTCTCCCCCCCCCAAAAAAATTAGTAGTATACAAAGCACTTTATTAACATGATAAAAATGATCAGAACCCAGCAGATAACATTAACATTTACATTAAAGACATTCTTGTTTAAATTAGGGCATGACAAACTTTCTGTTGTCATTACTATCATTTAACACTGTTTGGGATGCACAAGCTGTTACAAAAACAAAAGAAAATTAAGGTTTTTTTTTTTTTCTGATTTATATCATTGCTGTTGCTGTGACCATGTCCTGTGAAAACCCAAGAGAATGATTAATTAATGAAAATAATTAAAGTGGTTAAAAATATTACTGCTAGAGGGCACGTTTGTTCACCAGAGAGAGACAGGAAAAATAAAGAGAGAGAGAGAGGAAGCACCTCCCAATGGAGTGTGGTCACTCGCCAGTCCTTTTCCTCCACTTCTCCATCCTGTCTGTATTTGGGGCATGCCCGCACACCCAATGTGTTTTTCAAGCCACCAGGGCTGGGATTTAAGCTCTAGTGGGTCATGTGGGATTTGGATCTCTTAACCATTATGTTACAGGGTCGGCCCGGTGACTGGCATTTCATGTAATACTACGCAATTTATGAGAAGAATGCGGTTGATGAGGTTGATTTATATGCATGGACATGGAGGGATATCTATGATTAATTGCTAGGCGACAAAAACAAAATGCAGTATGTACAAAGTCTTCTATTCAGTGTGTGTGTGCATGTGTGTGTGTGTGAGTGTGTGTGTTAAAGTATAGAAAAAGTGGGGCCATTAGGTGGCACAGTAGGTAAGGCACTGGACTCCCACCTGGTCAACCAGGTTTCAAGTCCTGGACCTGGCAACTTGAAACTCACACTAGGCACGAGTGCATGGGTGACCAAAATCTCAAGAGGAGAATGGAGGAGAAGGGATTGCAGTGTGGCCATCCTCCCTGGAGGGTGATTTCTCACTTTTTCTTTCTCTGCCTCTGTCTTTTCAG